TAACAGTCTGCAAAAATAGCCTAACAGTTTACACAGCTGATCAGGGCACTGTTAGAGGAGCTAAACAGCTTTGTGCACTTTGTAAATTTCCTAGAGAAAAAAAAACCCAGCTTTTCAAAGATAATAGAAAAGAAGGTTTCAAAGAGGTTTTAGTTTTGAACAGTTGAAGCAAGCCAGAGGGAATAAAAAATGTTCCCGTTCTCATTTTACAGCTGGAGAACTGAGGCACAAAATATTTAAATGAGTTGCCTTGGATCACACACAACAGTTGTATTAAGACTAGTAAATAAATTCAGATAATCTTAGTCTAGATTCAGTTCCTTAGGCTATCTTTCTTCTGTCAAATATTTTTTAAAAAATTCTTTATGGCTTCAACAAATCTCTTTGAGTTAGGTGAAACATCAAGACTGTTGAAGAGAGAAAAAATAGAGCTGACACATCAATAATGAAGTAATCAGGCTTGCTTTCCCTTTGTTTCCAATTTGGGATTACTTTTGGTGGAGATGTAATTATAAATTCATATGTTTTGATTAATAAATACTTAGACTGTACGTATTAAGAACTTAAGAGTCCTGAAGTCCATGCTTGTATCCAGTAGGCCCTTCTTGGAAAACTATTTTGTCTCTTTGAATTAGACTTTGATTAATTAAAATTTTATTTACTGCCTTCCGGTAATGTGGAATAATATCCTGATTCAGCAAGTTACTAACCCCCATCATTTAAAGCACCCAAGAATAGATAGACACTTAAGTCTTCTTTTGGATTGAATTGTTTGGTTCATTTGTCTAAATATTCTTAGCATTTTTAATTACTGTGTTAATATGTTTTCTTTCTTCTTTCATGTCTCGTTTTCAACTATGAAAAAATTTGGTATATTTAGCAGACATTGACAAAGCATTTTAATTTAAGCAGTCGCATTTCAGTAAATATCTGAGAAGCCTCGTATGTCTGATTTCTAACCAAAATTACAGTCCTGTTATTCTCAGATCAGTATCTCTGCATAATCATTTACATTTAGAACTGCTTTGGAATTGTTAAAATAAAAAGTAACTTAAGAATTACATCAAATTTTTCTTTTCCCGGACACCTTTTTTAATACCTGAATTTGAAATATTTGAATCCAAAATTAAAAATAATTCCCATTTGTTCCTTTTTTTGATGCAACAGTAAGTTTCAGTCTATGTAAAAGTATATTTTGTGTTCAATTTCCAAGGAATTCCATAGTAGAACTGCATAACATGAATTAAACTTAAATTACATTTCTTTCCTTCAGAAGGATCAATTTAAGTTCTACCAATAGCCAATATGCTTTTGGCACCTTTCACTGCAGTGTAGATTTTATTTTTCAGATTACAGGTAGAAAGACTTTATTCTCTAAAATGAAGAGGTGTGGAAAAGGAATAATGTAACTTCAAACAAGCAGGATATCTGACTAATACCTAAGAGGAATAATTGAGTCCTGGTGCAGTGCTAGCTCAATTCACTAAGCCTGAACCCTTTTCAGTGTAGGCAGTTCTACTGTTATGTATTAAAGAAAGCAATTTTAACAGGAAGAATTAGAGGAAGCTTTTGGATTATAATTGTGATTGGAGTAATTTTGTAAAATTCATTAGCAAGATGATCTCATTTGTACAAATGTAAAACATATCACTCATAAAGTTCTGTCATGTTTCTGTTGACCCAGGTGCTTATAATGTGTTAATTTACATCAGAGAAACAGCAGTGTGTGGAAAGTGGGCAGCAGATAGGATTTAGTTATTTTTCATTAGCACTTGGACTTTGATAAAGGGGAACAGAAAAGAGCTGCTTGACCTTTCAGTACTTAAATTATTAAAGAGCAAATAGATTTGAGGTCTGGATGCTTGCAAACCTAATTTGTCTTGTGAGTAAGGATGAAAAGACATTTTGAGTTTGAAATTGCTCCAGTCAACTTAGCTCTTGCTTTAATGTATCTGGAGATGAATAGATGGCAGGCATTTAAAAATGCAATATACAAGAAATTGTGCATGTAGTATAACTAACATGAGTTTGCCAGAGGAAAAGGAGCATTATAATGACAGATTTGTTATAAAATATCCACAATATTCTAGCTTTAATCACTGAGTGAAAAATTAAAAGAATCCTCATTTCAGCCAGTGCTGAAGCAGGACATATTACCTTATCTGATCTGAGGTCCCTCTTATTTTCAGTCCTGCTGCAATAAAAACGGTGACAATACTCTCCCGAAAGCAACAGCCAAATAACTTGGTTTACTATCCATCATGCTGTAGTGAAACTGAGGGTTTCTTATCTTTGAGGCAGTATTAGGTGAGTGTATCCAGCCTCACTACCTTGCAAGAATGGATGTTTGCATCGCCTTCTACTTTTTTCCCAGTATTCCATTTAAATTGGCAAACGGTATTTATTGTACATTCACTGTAAGTTAGAATTCAGAGGAGGCAACATGCTCTCTTCAAAGTAGCTTGGAATCCCAGTTCTAAGAAACTGTGTTTTGTTCTAGAAAATTAGCTGCTAAAATCATGTCAAACATTGATTTAGAAGAAAAAAAACAAGATTGTAATGACAGTGATTAATTTTTAAGCTTAGATATTTCAAAGCTAGTTTTTACAGATCAATTCTCATAGGATCAAAGAAAGATTGCCATGTATTGACCTTCATTTACTACTCGGCATGGAATTAATCAACTAATGAATATCTTTCTGCTAGATGCGTAGACTTTGTTATACAGAACTGCAAAAATGTACAGACAGTGACCTTCAAGTGGACCCTCAAGACATTTGTTTGTCTCCCTGGCTATATCAGTTTTTACTTATATATGGTCGATTTCTGCATGGGGTTGAGCATCACATTAAAACATCTAAATTTAGGTGTTCACTTGCAGATGTCTGCATGTGAGTTGAGTATTTAGACAGTATAGTCAGTGGGACCTAGAAAGCAATTAAAGTGACACAATTAGTGACCCAAAAGTAGACACCTCCTCACTGGTCAGGTCTTTAAGATCTGTTGCCTGTACTGAGTACCTCTCCAATGACTGTGATGGGAGTCAACAGATGTATAGACATCTTCATGAAGACACTTAAATTTAAGTGTCTTAACATTAAACTAAATCTCCACCATGGTGAAAGTCTGAATTAGGCAGAAGAGGTATTGAGCATTCTCAGTGTTAACTTCCTGGGCATTTATTGTGAGCATAGGAAGTGCCATATGTTCTTCTGGAGATGCTAGATCTTAAAAACATAATAAACAGGGTCTGTTGCACATGGTGAGTAGGTTTGGTAAAAGTAAGATGGCCAAGAGAATTGGCGTTCTTCTGCCTGTTGGTGATATTCAGCTATGGAGGCTCTACAGACCTGGCCTGGTGCTGTCTGTAGAGCCATGGGCAGGGACACCTTCCACTAGATCAGGTCTCTCAAAGTGCCATCCAGCCTGACCTTGAACAGTTTCACTGATGGGGCATCATTCAAGTACACAGCATTTTCTAAACGTGCAAAAGCAGACTGAGTGTAGAAGCAGTATGTCAGTCTGGTTGTGCACTGAGTCAGTAAGGCTCCAGAGAGTGCAGGAGCTGGAGAGCTCTGTGCCAGCACTCAAAGCAGCTTGAGCCTAGCAGAGCCCCAGCGGGTGCAGGAGTTCACAGGCTATGAGCTGTCTGGGTGACTGCACAAAGTCATCTCTTTTATTTCTAAACCAGATATGCCTTCAGAAGGGGGATATCCATAGCTGTGCAGTGATATGACTAAGCCTTGCTGGGTCAAGACTGAGACCTGCAGAGGCCCAGCCCAAGTGTCCCAGTACTTTGGGCAGAGTCTTCTGTAAACGTAATAATCTACCTACAGATGATGGAGTTGGAACAACATGTCAGAAGACTGTGTGGATATTTTATCTTTAAGGAACATACTCTACCTAGAGATTGCTGCTTTTTATAAATTATCAACTTGAAAGATCATAAAGTGTTCTTAGGTGTAGATGATGTGCAAAAATGTGGATGCATTGCTGCTTTAGCATCAGTTACCCATGCTGACTTGCTTACCGGGATTCAAGATTCCGGGAGACAAATAACTATTAAGAATCACTGGCCCCTAGTGAAGCAATAAACTTGCAAGTCAGTCCACTTTAGAGACATGGACTTCCCACTTCACAAATTTGAAAGCACTGATTCAGGCTTTTACAGCAACTACAAGGGTATAATGATTACTCTGTTTGCATATACAGCAGAAACCACAATTTCTTTGTTCCCACTTGAGTGTCCATAGCACCTTTACAGTGGAGAGGGATGGACTGCTCCCTGTAGGTCCCAGTACAGCAAAGAATGCAAGTACAAACGGAATTGCTTTGCAGAATGCAAAAACACATAAAACATGGTTATCTCTAAGATGTGTAAAAGTGCTTTGCTGGGTGAGAATAACTTCCATCAAAAAGTGTTTTATTCTTGATCAGCAACAGTCAATATGCCACCAAAATATTAAAAGATGTTAACTTACTCTATGTGTGCTTTTATAAATAGATGCATGTATAAATATTTATAAAATAACGTCAACAGTTAAGCAAATACTATTCCCCATCTCTGTGTAACTTATTTCTTAATTTTGATCTTACTACTCATTTCAATTCATTTAGGCAGGTTAGAGGATGGAATCTGTAGCTTTATATTTACTTCTGTGAACAAAAAGCTACTTAATTCTATATTGTAACACTAATCAAGCAAGCCTTTTCTGTGCAAGGTTCGAACAAGAAAGTGTTCTGTGCATTTGCTATATGAAAATCTGTAGTGTGTATGTGTAATTTTGTTTCTCCAAAACAAAATTAGTTTATTTGAAAGCATGAATCAATTCCACAAATTCTTACACCTCAATATCAAAATGACATTTTCTCCCCATGTCCTTTGCTTTTAACAGTCCGTTTTTCCCATAAATTCTGGTATGCTATTATGGTTTTAGAATGAGTTGACTTCCCGAGTCTTAAAATATGTTTCTTTTGTTCTTTCCTTTCTACACTCTTAGTGTCTATCAAATAGTTGTTGAAGAAGAACGCCCACGGAGAACCAAAAAGACAACCGAAATCCTGAAGTGCTACCCAGTGCCCATTCATTTCCAGAATGCCTCACTTTTGAATTCCCAGTACTATTTCGCTGCAGAGTTTCCAGCCAATGGTTTACAAGCTGCTCAGCCTTTTACTATTGGTGATAACAAAACCTACAGTGGTTTCTGGAACACTCCTCTTCTTCCTCATAAGAGCTATAGCATCTATTTTCAAGCTGCTAGCAGAGCCAATGGGGTAAGTCTTATGACAGATGTGGTTTTTATACAGTATTTGTGTGTAAATAGGTGATTGGCACCAACTAGCAATAGTTTCTAACGAGAAAATGAAGTAACCGTGAGATTTAACACACTGAGTTTAAAAAAATAACAGTTTTCCTAACACAATATTGCTTAATGATTAAGGTTACAGGAAAGAGGAGGGGAAAACAGCACATTTTGTCAATAGTGATGAGGCAAAGTAGTGCTTTCCCATTCTGTTTTATTATCTAAAAGCTGTCCAATGAGTGTGTTTGACTGGCTTTTTTCTTTCCTTTTTTTTTTTTGTTTTGTTTTGGTTTTGTTGCTTTGAAGAGGAGAGTGCTGTGATTTCTTTTGTCAAGTTTAAGCCAAACTTGATTGTGGATTTTAGCACATCTGTCTTGGCCTGTCCAGTCCCATTACCTTGGTTTGTAATGTCTGGAACTCCCATTTTCTCATTTGGTTGCCCTGGCTGAATTAGAAACCACTTTTTCCCCCCCTTCTGCAAACAGTAAAACAAAAATAAGTAGATGGAACTGAAATTAAAAGTGTGTAAAAAGGTCTTCACAGATTGTGTTTCATCAGGCTAATTCTTCCTGGAATTGTTTTTCATTTCCAGGGCAGACCTACCCAGAGCCCTTCAATTCTTGATCAGCTTTGGCTGTCTGTGCTGACAGCCTGGAAATGTTTTCTGCCAGAAACCATAATGGTCCCTCTTTCACAGTGCACTGACAGTGCAGAAATGTGAAACACCATTGGTTATTTTTTCTTTCTAAATTTGTGTAGCATGATACTTCAAACTATACTATCTGTAAGAAAAAGAAGAATCTCCCAAGGTCATTATGTTGCCAAAGTAAAAAAGCTGACACTTGCTCTTGTGAATATCTTTCACATATTTTCTACTTTTAGAGGAGTCTTAAGTGAAATTTTTGTGCACCATACCTAAGCAGTGTTTGTCCATATTATGAAAACACATTGGAGTTGCTTAATAAGCAGTTAAATATGTAATGAGACACATAAAATAAACACTTCTCTGACATTTATCAGTACTTTTAGGAATAGAATCATGGATTACTTTCGTTGCTTAGAAACACAAGATGTGACCTTTTCCCTCTTTATTTGACACAGGAAACCAAAATCGACTGCGTCAGGGTAGCCACAAAAGGTATGTTCATATTATGTCATGTATTTGGTATTTCAGCCTGCTGCCCTTTCCCTCACATGGTCTTTGCAAACTTCCAGAAGTGTTTATATTGCTAAAAGGCATCACTAAACCTATTACAGAATTTTAAATTATTCATTTGCATCTCTAGCTGAGATTTCGGAAGTTAGTTTGTTTGTTTGTTTGTTTGTTTGTTTTTAAAAATAAACCTATTACTCATTTTTAGTTGTCTACTTGAACACATAGTTTTTAAAATATATTCTGTGGGTTTTTATATGATCTCACAATAAATATTTTTGACTTTTCTATATATAGTAGAATTGTAAAATTGCCAATTGCAGAGTACATACTAGCTGTGTATACATCTGTAGTGAAAAATTACCCCTTACTCGTAAGCAATTATCTTATCTTAATTGCTTTATAAAAGAAAAGTGGGGAAGTCATGTTCTTCATTTTCGTGGTACAGATCAGCTATATTTATTGGACTGTCAGCTCATGATACTACCGTTTGTGAGACAAGTGTGTGTAATTGAGGCAGTGCTAGGTATAGATTTGATCCCCAAACAGGAAAAGATAAACATTCCAGTTATATTTAACTTTGAGGGTAGGATCTCTCTGTGATTATCTTTGTAGTCCTCTAGCTGGTAGCAACTTCAAAGCCTGAAAAAAAAAAAAGTGCTGGGATAGTGTGATTATTTGGAGACTGTAATAGAGGAAAAGGAAAGAAAGTACTGCTGTGAGTAGGAACAGGTAATACCACCTTGCGATTTGGGTACCTGGTAAGAGTATGAAACAAAAACTACTTCATTCCTGTACCACTGTTCCTTGTGGGAGATCATGCTTGTCTCATAGTGACTATCCCTAACATAACTGATTCCACCATGATTTCCTTTGCACATAGACACCACAATTCCTAAATAGGATGGATGAGAATCTTATTACTTAAAAGTAGCAGAAATATTAGCATACAGTTGCTTCTGTTGAAAGGCTGGATCGTCCCTATTGTGATAAATACAGTTTTCATGGCTCTTTGAACTGGTTTGGCTTTTTTGTTTTGGTTGTTTGGTTTTTTGTTGTTTTGTTTTTTGGTTTTTTTTTCCAAACCAAGGGACGTTTTCCTTATTAAACCATAGAAAGCTTTCAAATATCTAAGCTAAAACCCCATAAAAAGTAGATGAGAGATTAATTCCAGATTCAAGTGTGGTGTTGTTTTCCAGTAGCTTCAGTGATAGCAGGAGTGGACTACATTACCTCAGAAATCATAATAGATGATTAGAGGAATGGATTTTAAATTATTTGAAGGTTTGTATTGCTAATCATTAGTGGATGTTCAACTATTTCAATTACTTGACTGACTGAAAAATCTTATTCTCATTTGAGAAGCAAGGGTAGCTTTATGGATTGGAATAACTCCCACAGCAACAAGCTACTTTGAGCCAACCCATTTGGCAGTGGATGTGTGAGAAATGCAGCTTCTCTTTTAAACAAATCACCATACATTTCTGTTTGAAAGCGTGTTTCAGAATTCTTCATAATACCTTTGTGTATCCTGTAAAATGTGAGGGGTTGTTGTGAGGACTTTGAAACCAGGGGTGTCCTCAATGGCATTTATAGTCCCCAGTGGAAAACTTTCTTGGAGGGCTTCTGTAAAGCATGCTTATAAATGGAATGTCTGTATTATATTTTTTAAATATATTAATTTTAAAAAATGAAATGAAGACCGTGACGTATTTTAATATGATATTGATCATACCTGTATGTACAGATTTTATCCCTTTAGCTCTAACAGAGATACTTGAGAGAAAAGCAGACTTCTGTGCCCTCTTTGGACTTCCCACATATGGAGTATCAAAAATAGCCCAAATGCTTAATGTCTTTAGGTCAGAAGTCACCACACCTGCAGTGGAGCAAGACAGAGAATTGTCCTCTTCCATTTACCTCTGCTTCTGTCCACACACCCCCCCCCCCAAACAGCTTAGTACAACATTCACATTGCCTGTACCCCAGGAAACAAAGGCTGCTCTGACCACAGTGCCTCATCTCTTACAGATACACACCATTTTCCACTGAGTTTTGTGACTACAGTATAGCTACTAGACAGTAAACTACTTAAGCTCTATCATGTGCTCATTGTGTCCATCTATTTGTTACAGTGCTTCTTACAAACAAGCTTGCAAATGCTCTCAATACAACATCTAGTTTTCATATACTAAAATAATTTCTGAAATGTTTTTATTCTGGGCTTCTGTTATCTTTAAAAGTCCAAGTCTGGTGGTTTTTAAAGCTAAAAGGAGGTGCTTTAGGCCATTCACGTATAAAGTCTTCTTTTAAATTAAGGTCTGATTCTGAAAATACGTATAGCCTTGTGTAGGCCATTGGAGTTAGAATTTAATACGTATGTGGAAAACCATAATCAAGTCAATGATGTACTTAATTTTGACAACAAAGAATAATCTCATTGACTACGTTGCAACTATTCTGTCTTAAAGTAGACATGCAAGTATTTTACGGGATAAAGGCCTGTGCCATAAAGTACACCCTGTAAAACAAGCGTGACAGTGCAGCCAACTGTCTGCTTGTTTTGTGATTCCCTGACTGCAGAAAAGCTTCTGCAATTCCATTCCCATGGACTTTGAGGATTGTACCAAGTGCATTGGCAGCCCCTCCTGGGATCCAGGTCACCCAAGGCAACCTCTAGGCTACTCCACTGAGCCAGCTGAGCTTGGCCAAGCCACCTCATTGTCTGTATTAAGGGCATCTGGTTAGTCTGTTTGAAGTCTGCCCTCAGGACCAATATGGGAGTTCAGAACCCGACATGAGCATAGCTATATAATTTGCTAGTTGCATTTCCTTTAATTATCCCAACTTCAGATAATCTAAAAGTTTTGGCTGCCCTTGAGACCATGAGATCATTGAGATTGTGTTTTATCACTGAGTTTTGCAGTGTTCATTCCATAGCCCACTGTATGCTTTTGTACTTTTTGTTAAAATAAATAAGTGTAACATAGAGCTCTCTTGCCCCAGATCCATCAGAACCCTTGAGTAGGTACTTCACGTTTCAGTCCAGTTATGTCAACAGGAATAATGCATGTGCTCACTGTGAAGCATGTGTTCAACTGGCACATGCTGGATAGCCTATTGTCATATTGATGGGCTTCTTGTTAGAAAAGTACAGCCTAACCCTAGAAAAGTACAGCCTGAGTCTAGTGGGTCAGATGCATGTGTAGGGTCTGTAGCTGGATAATACTTTCTCATTCTGTCAAGTGTATTTTAAACACCCTCAATTTGTAACATTTTAAAAAATGCTCTTTTTAAATGACCATTACATTTTTACAAATGAAACCTCTGTTAAATATGTTCTTTTAGAGATCATATAAAAATCCTGATTGCAATGACTGTAAGTGTAAATTAGGATCAGAATACTGGGTTTTGTAGACCTGGAAGTTCTCCTCCTGTTTCTCATGAAGTCAAAGGGAGCCTTTGCCATTGACTAGCCTATTCTGCTGATGTGGAGTCTTCTGATCTTAGTTTGCTTCTAGGACCTCTGTGACTATTTGATGTATATACAAACGTGGAGGATGCAGGGTTTCCACTCCCATTATTTTTGACAAGATAATTAAACAAACAAACAAACAAAAATCAGGAAGAGCTTTTTGTACCAGCGGTAATAAAGGTTGTTATATTTTGCTTGAAATATGGCTTTCATATACCTACTCTTTCTTCAAGCTAAATGACTGTAAAATCTCAGCAGACGAAGTTGAAAACATTCCAAAACTCCTCCAAGTTTATTGCTATCAACTTTGTGGTGGTTTGTGATTTATATTAAGGCTATATTTCCTGGTATGACTTAGAACACTGTCTGGATAGAAACATCTTGGTTATCTCCTAGGATTCCAGTTCTCAAGAGGGAGACATTATTGTTCTAATTTTGCAATGTTGGAAGGCTTTCACTAATTATGAGAGAGAAAAGGATATTATAATATTTTAAATCCAATAGCAACAGTACTCTAGCAGCTACTATCAACACTGTGTTTCAATGTTGCAGAGGGATATTTCAAAATATTATGCAGCAGCAGTTTTGAGTTTAATTGTCTGCAGATGGTAGATGATCTATTTTCCTCACTCATTGCCACATTTCTAATAGCACCCAGGCTGTTCTATGTAAATGAGTGATCTTTCATATAATTTTGTCCTTAATTTTCCAATATTTTTTCTTTGCATCATTCTCCAGCTGCATCATGTTGGATCTGACCTTTTAATTTTTGTTATATTCCTTAATATATATGTATCATAATGTGCTTAACCATTTATAGGCAATCACAGAACTGCTGGCAAACCAAGAAATATGAGATTCTATTAGTGTGAGCCATGGTAATAGTTATCTATACCAGTCAGTGATTGTTACAGCTCCAACAGAAAAGTGTGAATACTGCAGGCACACAAACAATTCAGATTTTTTGGCTTTTTCTAGTCTTAGTGGCAAAATGTGAACTTGAAACTCGGACCTCAAACAGTTACATGCATACCTAACTAAAAGCTTGCTAACTCTCAGTGGTCATTTTCTGTATGTCAAAAGTTAAGTGTGTGTGTAGTGTGTGCATTTTCAGAACAAAGACCCAAGTGGGTACAAGAAAAATTAATCTTAGCTAGCTCAAAAATATTTTACATGCAAATTACCTTTAAAAATTATAGGAAAAATGTGCTCTTATGAAATAGGAAAACAAAGAGTAAAACTAGATCAAATTACCTGGAGAAGTTAATGCTAGAGTAATCTAAATAAGCAGTTAAATTTCACTTAGAAAGCCCAGTGCTGTGACTAGCAAAACCAGAGAGTTTCCAGTTTCCTCAAATGGATTATATATAAATAATGTGCTTTGAGTCCTCTTCCTGAATGAAAGTCACATACGAAAGCTTATTAATTTGCAGAATAACCAAACTAACAACTGAAGATGAAAAGGAACTTGTGGGAGTTTTTTGGTTTTTATTTGTAAGAAGTTCAGACAATAAACTATTGACCAAGATTCTTCTTGCTGGCCTAGCTTCAGTCTGGCTTTTTTTTCCCTCATGCATGCTGACCTGGAAATCTTCCTTTGCCTTAGCTGCGATAATCGTGACTCAGCTTACAACACCATACATTCGCATCGCCCCTGCTGCAGGCGACGACCAACTAACAGGTCAGATGTTCACGTACAGACAAGTCATCATGCCCATTTTGTCTCACTTTCTTTGGCTCCTTTTCCCTGATGGTTTCTTCATTCTCTGCTCATAAATAGTTTTCTGTGTTAAAAGTTTCTTTTTTGTTTATAAATTTTCCTTCAGCTCCATCAAATTAAATTGTGTGCTTGGCACCAAAACTTACACACACATCCCTGTACATACAACTCCACTGCATGTGCCCATTGTGTGTGTGATCTGTGGAATGTTCCTTCAAGCCTGACGTTGTAAAGAGATCTAATCTTGCTCCATCCGCAAATTAAATGACAGTTTGAATATAGATATATATCTGTATACCTGTTTGGGTTTTTTTTCTGTATTATTAGATTAAGACACTAGAATTTATAAATAATTTAGGCTCAAGAGTTGCATATGCAAGTTAGGACAAATATCTTGTATTAATGGATTTATTTTTTTTTACTGCAGAATGTTCGGAATATCATATTTTCTGGCAGCATTTCAATATGCAAAATAAAGAAATAAAATTTATTTTTGTTATGTCATGCATGAGTTCTAGGATTAAGTCAACATGACCTAGTATGTGACATGTGAAAATGAACAAGACTGTCACGTTTTAAAATCTAATTGTCAAAGTACACTCAGTATGCAAGTGAGACAATTATTAGGCTGTGTGTGGCTTAAGGGCCAGTTCAGAATGTACCAAAAAATCTTTATGAACTTGGGCAAATAATTTCATTTTGTTAGAAAATAAACACATACATAAAGCTTTTAAAGACCTTGGTAACCTTTTTATTTTAAAACAGAAGCAAAGAGCATTAAAAACTCTAGAATCAAAGGTGAGTTTGACAGAACATGTAACAGAAGTTAGACCTAGTCCAGCAGCATTTAGCATATGATAAAATCATTGCCTTTTTGAAGAATACTGGCATAGTTACTTGGGAAGCACTTAAGTGTTGCTACTGGCATGTCTGAGGGAGAAGGAGGGAGTTCAGATGCTTAGTAGTTAAGACAGTTAAATGATTCAGCTTAAGACAAGAGGATTAGTGACATATCTGCTGTAGCTTTTAATTCTGGGATGTGTGTTATAATAACAAAGCTGAGTGATCCATAGTGCCCAAGTTGCCACGTCAATCAAGACAAAATTCTTGCATATATATTTGTAGTATGTAATAACATATGAACTAACCAGAATAATGTATTGACATGATACCAGGAAGTACTAGCTTCTTCTTGTTAGTACTGCTTGTCAGAAGCTCTGTCCACATACCTTTTTATATCTCAATTATTTTTCACTTGAGAATACAAATAAAGCTTTGAAGAGTCAAATAGGATCTCTTCCATATCCCTGAACTTCAGCAAGTTTGGATTTCTTCATCACAGGATTCAAATAAGTTGTTTGTGTGTTTTTTTTTTCATATAGAGAATCAAATGTTTTTCTTATTTTTTTTTTTTTAATTTGTTTCAGTGTGAAACTAGGTAGCTACAGGAAACACTGGAGATATGCCTGTTCCACAAGAGGCAGGTGTCTATAGTAGTTACCAGTAAGAGAACAGAGATATAGCTAGCAGAGGACATCCATGAAAGTATTTATTTGGTTACTTTGTCACTGGTGGCTCATAGCATTAGCACCCTGGGCTTTTATTTCCTTTTATTATTTTTTTTAATTGTTCTACCAGAAACTAATTTTTATAGTGAAAAAAAGAAGTATCAAATGATACCTGCAAACAGCATTTATGTCTGTGAAATGTATTTAAAAGCCTCTGAAACCCCCTCATAATTTCTGCAACCCCTTCTCATCCTTGAAAGACTGGGTGATCAAAAAGAAAGAAGCATCTTCCTCCTTCCTAGTTGCCACAACTGAAATAGCTAGTGAAAAAAATTCACCCAGCCCACGTGGTTGGTCCCATGACAGCAATAGGAATTCATGTTTTTCTACAGAGACGTATCGTGTAGAGGTCCCATAGGCAGGCTTTTTGACTTTAGGGCAGTGCAACAATAATGGTATTTGCTGTATCCATGAGGAACCCAAAGATTTTCTTAAAGGAAATTTACAGGAGCTGGACTAGACATGAGGAAGCAGGGAATGATGTACATTCTCCCCACACTTCTCTCCTACAGATTCCCAGACTATGGAAAAGATCTATGTAAAAGGACTTCTTTATGTGGCAGTCAGGACTGTACAGCTGTACCTCTTAAATAATATAACAGAGCATTTTCTGTTCAGTGCTTTTTCCTCACTTTTTTGCTCAGCACCAAAGTAATTACATTTGAGATCAAGAAATTATTTTTGTCTTTTAGTGTCTGAGGAGATACATAACCAGCAGTGGGGAGGTCAGGGTTGGGATTTTATTTTTTTTCAGGTGGGAAGATGATGTTTCTTGCATAATGAAAATTTAAAATCTTGGCTGCATTCCTGAATATTGTTACCAATTTGGAAAGGTCTTCCTCTGCAGAAAGATCATTATAATATTGTTCAGCTTTCAAGCCAACCCAACTTGCACTCATTTCCTTCATCCTCATCATCAACTCATCCTGGCCCTTACTGCTGCAGTTTATAAACAATGCATTATTAGTTCTTTTTCCTTCCTTTCTCCTTCCTTTTTGTATAAAAATGAGATTGCTTCCATCTAAAGGATTATGTGCTATTTGCCCTAAATATCTTCACAGCCACTCCTTGCTTCTGTTCTCCTTCACAGCCTGTAGCAAAGGGAACTTTTCCTTGCAGTTGCACTTAAGTACCTACTCTGTAGTTGTCCTTAACTTATAGTATAAAGCAACATGCTGTAAAGGCAACTGTGTGATTTTAATTCTTACAAGCCAAAATAGGCAAATTAGTACTGTTAGTATTAATGAATTCATTATTATCACTCATTCAATAACTTAGTTATTCAGTTTTGGGGCATTGTGTTTATCTTTCAGTGTTAACCTTATAAAAAGTAGCTAACTCGAAATCCACTTAACTGACCCTACCCTCCAACAGATAGGGAGAATAGCAAAGTATCTAACATCTGTCAACCAGGAGAAAAGGCTACGTATACATGAAGCATAATAGTCCTCATGGTACTGTCTCCATGTTTTCATAAACAAATGCAGTTAAGAGTATGGTTGAAAGCATGTAGAAGGCTAACAAAAAACTTAACACATACATAACTGACTGTATGATCTTGACTTGAAAGTTGAATAACAAATCCATGTTTTTGAGAAAACCTGAAAGCATTTGTAAGATGCTTCATTATTTTGCAAGAGACACTTCATGTAATAGGTTCAAATTGGCAATATTTGGTATTCACTTGGCCCTCATCTATTTTGTTCTGTCTACATTCTGACAAAACAGTGTGCTTGGAATTATGATTAGGGTGTTCATTCTTTCAGGCATATTCATAATTGTTGAAATATGTCTGAGCTACTTATATTTAATTTTGTGATTTAGTGAAGCAGCCAATACTTCACTGGATGTTATTATGACTGATTTCCATAGAATGCCCTTTTTAAAACTACCCATTGTTAATGACACATGCAGCTGGAAGGGAGAATTCTGTATTGTGCAATCATCATAGATGTGTATTCAGTACATGGCAACATGTATTGCTATAGTCTCGGTCAGTTTCTGTTCTCAGCCATTCCACTGTAAAAGTGAAAAAAATAAACTGAAAACATTGACTTATTAAATCGCAACTTCATTGAATTTTTTTATGTCAAGCAATGTACTACAGATTTTTACAGCATTACTGAAAACACAGTTTGTTTATTAACACAAAAACCAACAGCATGAATTTGAGAAGGACTGTTTTCCTATTCATCTAGTTTGTTGGAAAGAACTGGGGTAATTTCTTTGTCATTGTTTGTAGCTTCTCCTTTACACTGTAATGCATTTGAGGTATAGCAACATGGGCTGGACAGACATTCACATTCATTTTTCTCCATCTTGAACCACGTAGCATTGATTTAGATGTATTCTGACATGTTGAAACTTAAAGTGCTATTTTGGGTAATGGAGAACCCATGATTTCCTAGCTGATACTACAGTGCTGTCTGTAATAACAAAGCTATGTGTAGATATGTCTGTCTCCAGGTTGAATACAGCATTTTAGGAGTTTATTCTTCTCTTGATACTTCTGAACAGCACTTACGCCAATGGGCATTGTGTACAGTTATCCAGGGGAGGGCAAGCACCTATGTGGTGTAATGTCAAAGCCGTATTACAATGCCATTGCAAGGCCAAGAGACAAGGAAAGCAGAGTGAGAATGGATCTGACTCTCCAAAGTGAAAATCTTAGCCTCTTTTTACATGATGGCCCCAGGGTTTCTTCTACTGGTTGTTCAAGGATTCTGGTCCTCTTGCTCAGCTGGGCAGAATGCAAAGCAAGAGGATATCTTCCTACTTTCTGCAGCGCCGGCTGAATGCATTTCAATGGGCTGGAGTGTCACTAGTGATTTATTGCCTATTTTTTTTCTTTTATGTGTTATATTTGTCATTTTTGCACTGACAGTTTCATCTATAAAACAGTATAGTTACAAGAAAATGTTAAGACGATACAGGAGTGCCATGGGAGCAACTGTTTCCTTTTCTCCTTTTTTTTTTTCCCTCGTACATTACAGAGTCAAATGTCAGGTTTTCTGTTTTTAAAACAGGGCAGCCAAAGCATCTAGGACTTCAAGTACATTTTCCACATAATACCTGAAGAATAGCTGAAGTTAAACAGTTAGACAGAGGGCCTAAAAATGATGCTGATAACAATTCACAAGTGGTGAAAAAAACCCATAATATAAATACAAGTCCTTTCCAGCTGTAGACAAAAGAGAACTTGAGCTGATCAGAAGTTAGTTAGCAATGTGATTCTGTTAGTGATATCAAGTTACACCAGTTCATGTTTTACAATAAGAGGAATTCCTACAAGGTTTTCTGAAAATTAATTAGCAGCCTTAGTTTTGAATGTGTTCAAGTCGTTACAGAAAAGCTGATCAAGAGCTTCAGGACCTCCTTCCATTCAGCTCCTCT